GGTGGGGTCAGTGAGGATGAGGAGGGGTGAAGCAGCCCCAGGTGGGGTCAGTGAGGATGAGGAGGGGTGAAGCAGCCCCAGGTGGGGTCAGTGAGGATGAGGAGGGGTGAAGCAGCCCCAGGTGGGGTCAGTGAGGATGAGGAGGGGTGAAGCAGCCCTAGGTGTGGTCAGTGAGGATGAGGAGGTGCAAGCCCTGCTAAGGGCTGCTTTCAGGGGTGTTTGTACCTGCTGGAGTGGGCAGTCTCCAGGAATCTGTCAAAGGACAATATTTGCAGAAGGAACCCCTGGATGCTCCATGAGCATTGCTCCAGGATGGGCAGAGGGACAAGTCCTGTGCCACTGGGCAGCACAGGAGAGGGAGCAGCACACCTGAGCAGGTGGGGCAGTGTGTGGGGGTGTAGGGAAGATCTCTCCTCTTTCTCTTTTCCATTTCATCTTTCCAGTTCTATCCCAGTAACTTCAGTCCCTTCCAAATGCCCTTGGTCCCATCCTAGTCCCTCCCTAGAGCATCCCAGTGACCCCATAAAAAAGAAGCGTTTGAGGGGAAACCTTCCTTTTTCATTATTGTCTGTTTCATTTGGAGGGCATTTCCCTTCACCATGATTTTAAGTCTTATCAATTGAAGAAAAATCTGTCTTTTCCATGAATTAGGGATATCAGTTGATGGGGAATTTTTATTTTCTAGTTTAAAGGGAAAGGGAGAACCCTTATGATGTCATTTTATGTGTTTGAGTTGAGGGCAAACTCCCTATTTTCATCATCTTAAGGTTTAAATTGTAAGTGAATCCCTATTATCCCTTGGTTTTAAGAGTTTAAATTGAGGGGAAATCCCCCCTTTTCTAATATTTTAAGTGTTTAAATAGAGGGGGAAAGGGGGGGGGGAAGAGAGAAAAGAGCAGGAAACGTGAGGTGGAAAAATTGAAGGAAAAGGGCATGAAAGGTGAGGGTGGGAAGTGCAAGATGGAAAAAGGTGGGGAAGGTGAGAGAAAAAAGGAGGAGAAAGTGGAGAGAAGAAAGGGTGGGAAACATGGGGTGGAAAAGGCTAGGAAATGTGAGGGAAAAAAGGATGAGAAACATAAGTGAAAAGCTAAAATTGTTCACACTGGCTGGTAGTAAGGATAAAGATAAAGCTTTGGAACCATGCTTTACTCTTCAAATTCTTTGCAGCCTGTAACAGCACTGCTGGCCAGTTCTGGGGAGTGTGAGAAGGAAGCTGTGCGTGCATCTTGTCTCTTAGTAAGGTATTGATCCCATAGGATCAGCTTCTCTGAGGTGATTGGTATTTGCCATACTCTGTGTCCTCCATACTTGACTGTATATATATATATATATGTAGGGAGTAAAATATATATATATATGTGTAAAAACATGCCTGTATTTTTTATTTATACCTGGATACACTTCATAGATATGTATATAAAGACATACAACATACTCAGTATATATGTCCACAGAAGTGTTGATATAAAACATGCTTTAATAAGAGTTAATGAAATTAATAGTTGAGATTTACATGCTGATAGAAAGGAATTAAATAAAGTAAAAAGTGGACATGGGATGCCCTCACTTCACAAAACTGCTGGTGGGGCTTTGGTATGGCTGTGGAGGAGGTGTCACAAGGGTTGGGTGTTGATGCATGTGTTGTACAGGAGCGACACAGGTTTATTTGGGAATGTATATTATTGCACAAGACACTTATCTTGACACTGAACAAAATGCTTGTCATTTTGAAACACATCCTGATTAAACTGTTGAAGCTGTATTAGTGTATGTTGGAAAAGAATGCTTTTGTATACAAACCCTTTGTTGATTTTTGTATTTACAGACAACACCACTGTGGAGACATACAATCATTCAAATCCTGTATTTGTAATTTTACAAAGACTATAGGCTGAGAGTTCAATTACTGCTTATGTCACAACCCATAATTTGTTAGGCATTCTGTCAAGATTCACTGCCTACTCCCATTGGAATGAGTCTTACCTTGCTGAGAGAATTGTTGCAGCCTGGTGACCTGAGCCAGCTGCTGCAATGAGTCTGGACAAGAGGACAAAACCCTCCTCTGATTACCAGCCACTATGATGTGAAGGTTGAGGAATCTGCTGCAGGTAGCTTGGCTTGTGAACTGCAGATTGAGCCAGAGACAAGAGGCTGTGAGCTACCAACATTTTGTTCAACAAAGGACAAGAAAATGTGTGGTGCCAGCCACGTGGATGGATGCTGGGAGACAGACACAGAGGAGTCAAGAGGAAGACTTGCATGTTGATTGGGCTGTGAGAGGATAAAAGCCCAGGAGACCTTTGGGGTCTCTCCTCAGAGGCACCAGCTTGAGCTGTTTCTGCAATATTGTGTTGTGAAGAAATGGCTTTATGGAACCAAAGACAACTGAGACTCTGCTAAGGGAAATCTCAGCTTGAATTGTCACCAAATCCACTGAAAACTAGTTGAATAAGACTCCTTAACATCAATTTAGTGTTAAGAAGGACAATTTATTCAGGCACTTGATTACACTGGTGATAACTGGTAACTGTGTATGGCACATGATTTTACAAGTCTGTTATACAGCCACTACATGCATGTTACAATTTGGCCATTATCATAAAACCCTCCCCAGGTTCCCAAACTCAGTCCTTGTTTTGGCTATTTCTGCATTCCTGAGCCAGATGTCTTCTTCTCTTCCAGCTATCCTTGCTGGCAAAGCAGATTTTACATGCTTTATTTCTCAGCTAAAAGTTCACAAGCACAGTAGAAACTGAGTTAACCTGCAAGGTACCAATTCCCCCCCTTTGAAACTTTCCAGCTTTTGTAAGATGGTTTGGTAAGTTTCAGTTCAATTTCTACCTACAATCCTATACATTCTTGCAAGACCACAATTGATTGTTCTGTGAACATGATCCAATAATGACTACCAATTATAATTACAATGGTTTTCCAGTATTTTAGCCAGCCATCCTCTCAGGGACCATTCCCCCCCATTCCTTGGAGAATTTTTTTGAACCAATTAGTTTCAGCATTGTGGACAGCATTGCTGTCTTCAGTAACTTGCCGCATTTTGTTAAGTTGTTTTTAGAGCTTTTATGTTTGGGATGTGTACAAAACAGGGTTCTCTATCCAGTTTTAATTACCCATAAATCCCTTGTTCTTTGGCCAGCAATCAGAATCTAAGATCAGTCTGTTCTGTAATGTCAGTATTTGCTTATTTATAATTTGAAATCCCTTTTCTGTGGCTTCAGATTGTTAGATAATCTAACTTGGCATGTAAAGAAGTTCTGTTTTTCAGAGCCATGGCTCCTGGTAAGAGAAAACTCTGTAGGGCCCATTCCAACGTTGTGGAAGTTGAAGATCCTGTCCATTCATGTGTCTTACTTTACCCTACCCCAATACTGGGCTTTTATGGGGCTTCTTTTCCAAGATGGGCATAAGGTTAATAATCCTAAAGTAATTTGTCAGGTAGGGGGGCCAAACAGTAGTTGGGTGGACCAATGTCCATCTGGGATAACCCAAAGAGTGTAAACTGCAGAAGGAGCTTCCAGGGACTTGACACTATTTAAGGGTTGGTTACTACAATTTAGAACTAATTTGGCCAGCCAAATGGTACTTATGCTACCGGACTGACTCATTGTTTTGTGTACCTCCACACCTCTATTGACTCTTACTTGGGTGATAGATAAGGGTGATTCCTCAATCTAGGCACCATCCCACCTCCCCTAAGTACTCCCATTGTTCTTTTAAGGGCTTTGTCTAGTCAGAGAGATTGATGCTCTGGCAAGTCTGAGACATTTTGAGATGTTTCATAATCTGACATAAATCTTACAACCTGGCTGCTTGGCCTCCAGAGGCTGCCAGGGCAAATTCTAAAAACTGTTGGTCTAGACTATGGGTCCCTGTTGGAGACTCCTTACCCCTCTGTCCTATTATCCCCTGGGCTCCAAGCTATTGGATCTTTAAGAATACCATCTCTTTGTCGCCTACATCTTTGCTTCTCATCCAAATAGTGGGTGACACCACAAACATTTGCCTTTGCTATCACCTTATTAGATTATATTGATATATATATATATGTTATAGAATATATATATTATATTGATATAATAGATTATTATATTGAATCACCATTGACAGATCTATACGGATAATTCCCCAAGGAATGTGTTCCCCTGCTGAATGGGGCATAGGGAGGCAGGCTCTAATGCTGGACAGATTGAACATTTAACTAAACCCTTGGATTAAAGCAAATATTAAATTTTCTTCAATACCCCCACCTAAAGTGATTCCCGTAAGTATTAGTCTATACATTTCATTGCTCATTTACAGATGTCTTCAAGATTTTCAGCTGCAGGGGTCTGGTGTTTTCCACTGGCCACTCTTGAGTCCGGAGCCCTCTTAATTCAGGTTCAGTGTATCCAGGAGTTAATTCCTTTCACTTTCACAGCTGTTTTTGTAGTCAACAGAACTAGATAAGGTCCTTTCCATGCTTCTGAAATGGCTCCGATTCCCAGGTCTTGATGCATATGATCCCCAGGCTGAAATTAATGAACTGGCATGTCTAGGGTTAGAGGTTCTGAAATTATAAACTTTTTTAATCCATTCAAAAATTTCCTTAATGAAATTAAATATTGTTCCATTTCCTGATTTCCAATTTGTTTCTTGGACCCAAGGAAGGTTGCAACAGAATACAATCTCTCAAATATCAACTCATATGGGCTGACATTCAGGTTAGTTTGGGGCTGTACTCTAACTAGTTACAAGGCTAATGATAACACCTGTGGCCATTTCAAGAAAGTTTCCTGACATATTTTTCTAATTTGTCTTTTTAGGGTTTGATTGATTTGCTCAACCCTTCCACTAGATTGCAATCTCCATGGAGTATGTAAATCCCAGTTTATACCCAGCTGCCTACTAAATTGCTGTAACACTTCAGATATAAAATGAGATTCCCTATCAGATGACATCCCCATAGGCACTCCAAACCTGGGTATGACCTCTTTGTGGAGTACCTTGGTGACTTCCCTAGTCTTGTTGGTGCAGCAGGAGAAACTTTTATTGGGTGGCCAGAAGCTATCTACCAACACCAGGAGATACCGGTCACCTTGGTGTGGTAGCTCAGAAAAGTCAATTTGCCAGTAATCCTCAGGAGTGTTTCCTCTTTTAGTATCCCTGGAGGAGGTCTTTTTGAATTTAAACTATTATTTTGACAAACTGGGCATTTTTGTAACATCAGTTGTGATAGAACTGTGACCTGGTTATTGGGAGTTACCAGCCACCCACCCTATTCATTCTGGGGTTTTAGGTAAGTAGCTAATTTTAAATCTGCTTGACTCTACCAAGGGCTAACTTCTGGAAGTGAAATAGCTTTCTCAGGTATTAGTACTAGGATGCCTTTTTGTGCAACTTCTCATGCAGCTTTACCTGCAAGTCTATTTCCCACACAAATTTGGGAATCCCCACACTGGTGTCCCCTGCAGTGTAGTATGGCCCCTTCTTTGGGCAGCTGGATAGCATCAAGGAGTATTTCTTGTTTATATTTAATCAGAGAGCCTTGTGCTGTTAGTAGTCCTCTTTCCTCCCATATAACCCCATGGACATGGACAGCCAATTTCAAAGTGGTCTATATGTTTACTCTTTTTCCTGCTGCCACTTCCAAGGCTCTTTGTAGTGCACCTTTGTGCTGAGGTGTCCATGGGCAGCAGTGCAGCTTCTTTTATTTTGGTTGATGGGATTACTGCATAGCTGGCTTTTCATCTTCTTGCACAAGGCTACTTCCATCTGCAAAGAATTCATTTGCTGGATCTTCAGTGGGTGCATCTTGTAGGTCTGGTCAACCAGCACAAGCCTTCTCAATTGTCTGTAAGCAGTCATGGGTCAATGACTCTTCTCCTTGCACTGGGGTGTTCAGGAATTGGACTGGGCTTACCACTGTGTTTTTTTTAAATTTCCACATCTTCATGCTCCATTTGAACAGTTTGATACTTCAGCATATGACTTGGGGAAAGCCAATGCCCCCCCATTTTGTCCTTACACAGCGGTTACAACGTTCAAAGTGTACACTATTATCTTTTGTCCCAAAGTCATTTTCCTGGCCTCTTGGATGAGAGTAGTCTCAGCTATGGCTAGCAGGCATCAGGACCACCCATGGCTGACGTTTTCTAGTCATTTCAAAAAATACCCCACAGGCCTCTTGAAGTCTCCTGCCTTCTAAGCCAGAACTCCAAGGGTGATGTGCTGTCATTTATGCACAAAAAGTTCAAAGGGTTTTTTTAAGTCTGGAAGTCCTAAGGCAGGTGCAGACATCAGGGCCAGCTTTAGGTTACAGAATGCATATTCACCCTTAGGAATCCAAATCAAAGGTTCATCTGAGGCCTCCATTAAAAGCTCATGCAATGGTATGATCAAAAGTCTGTAATTCAAGACCCACAATCTGCATCATCCAACCATACCTAAGGATGCTGCTGAATCTTGGGCAGTTGCAGGTTAGAGTACATGGCAGATGGCTTCTTTTTTGTCCATTCCCAGCCTCCACTGCCCACGTACTGTTTCAAATCCAAGGCAGCTAATTTGCTGTCTCATGATTTAAGCTTTTTCTTGAGATACTTTGTAACCTCCTTGGCCTAGGAAATTCAGAACATTCACAGTCAATTCCATACTCCTTTACTTAGTTTCAGTTGCTAGTAAGATGTCATCAACATACCGCAGGACCAACCCTTCTGGGTTCCCTTTTTTCCAGACCTCCGATTCTTTTGCCAGCTGGTTCCCAAAAATCATTGGACTGGTTTTAAATCCTTGCGGTAACAGTCCAGATAAGCTGAGTCTTCCAACCAGTTTGGGGGTTTTCCCACTGAAAGGCAAAAATGCCCTGACTTTGCTCATCAAGAGGTATGCAAAAGAAGGCATCCTTCAAATCTGTTACTTTAAACCACTAGTGATTTTCCACAAGGGCTGTTAACAGGGTGTAAGAATTGGCTACAATAGGGTGGATATCCTGGCCTGTTTGATTGTACCAACCTGTACTTACCTGTCCCAGGCTTTTTAACTGGCAAAATAGAAGCGTCACATTCTACCAAAAATCCAAATTCCCTGAAATTTTCTATTAGGCTGTTGATTTCCCTTCTAGCTTCTAATTTTAAGGGATGCCATTTCTGCCTTACTGGTCTTGATTCAGTTTTTAGGGTAACACTTACAGCCTGACCTTGTTGGGAACAGCCTGGAGTTCCACTGGCTCAAACCAGGGATGTTCCTTCATTTGCTACTGCTTCTGGATATTCCTCCAAAATTGTCTGTTTCTGGTGTTCCTTGAATCATAAAAGTCCTTACCTTGATGGCGTTAGTCTCAGGTACAAATAATTGTATTTCTTCATCTTTAAATACAATCTGAGCCTCCAATTTAATTAACAGGTCTCTTCCTAAAAGAGGAACCACACACTCAGGCATACATAAAAATTGGTATATTATCCACTGTTTTCTGAATTTAAAGTTACTGGTGTTAAAAAATTTTCATTTTACCGCTTTTCCTGTTGCACCAACAACATTTACAGTTTCTTGGTATTTACAGTTTCTTGGTGTAATAAATTAGTCTATGAATAAAAATTCGTAAAGGGTATAAATAAAATATATGTATGATTGCAATGAC